CTACAAACTGCTTGCGCTCATATTTCGTATACCTGGTGAGATACAGTTGCCTTTGGAGTACCATACTTTATAATACTTTGTTGGGGACCTGCTACTCAAAGGGAACCATTATGAAATAAAAGTTAATACTTTTGCTCTCCCTGGTTACTTCAAAGCCAAGTACAATCGTGCGTGCTGCTACGCATCCTTAGAGGCGCATGCAAGTGCATGATACAGGGGCCTTAACCCTCAGGCTCTACGAACTCATGGATTTAAGGCTTTTGGGCCTAAAGACCATATTATCTAAGGCTTTTGAGCCATTTTGAGCCTTAGGGTAATGATTACCTCTACTATGTTGGGTGCTCCTTTTTAATATTTTAGTATAATGGGCACCACAACCCTATTCTGATTAGTAAGACCCCTATATTACGCGCATTGGGAGGTCGAGCCTCCAATTCCAGGTTCTACTCCCTCGACGTCGTCATCGTCCATCGTCGTCGTTGCCGTCCTTGTTATTAATCTTACCCTAAACCCTCAACCCCCAGGTACAAAGTTGGCGAAAGTCCGTGGATTCCTGGAACCTTGCTGAACGACGTGGTGAACAGCGGCTTCCCCTTCAAGAATCTCTTCACCTGCGACGTGCCGAGCCGCTGTGATGGCGGCTGGATTCTTGGATTCGCATGAGGAGCCCGGCACACCCCTGAATTTGGATTCTTGTGAAGGACTTCAGTTACAAAATCAGTACACCATGTTAACTACTATAGACCCCTGTTATGGTAACATACGGTAGCCTAGATCAAATTCCTTAGCAAGAACCCCCGTAAGTCTGAAGCAGTCTGCCAGAGCCAGTGGAAACCCCGAACTCAAGCAGTCGTCATGTAGTTTCGGAGAGGAGGTCGGCAGTTTTACGCGAAGGACGTAAAAAGCAATCAACGTCAGGCTGTAGTATGTAGAACGTGGGGCTAGAGGGGTAGGCGTTTCAGGTAGATTGGCATCTGAAATCATGCAAGGTTTGTCAAGCTTTAGGGTAGGTCGTCTCACTCTCTTTGCATCCAAGTGACGGCTACACGCACTACGACATGCTCTACTGGACCGCGCCGGAGAGAACCCCCTACACCTACGACACCTTGGAGCACTACTACTACCCTGATGATGACGCTGCTGATGCTGACGACGGCGCCGACGATCGGTGACTGAGTCCGCGTGCTCCAAGCTAAGTCGGGGGATGTGAATCGGGGGACTTGAATGCTTTGTGAAAATAGGTCCCCCGCTTTCGTTTCTCGGAGATGACGGCCACAAAGTGCCGTCGTCTCAGGTCGTTTTTGCCAACCAGAAGTGTTGCAGGCTCGCAGGCTTGTTGTGTAAGAAGCACAAGCTGCGGCATCTCCGGTGTGAGTGGACGGCGTTTTCAGAGACTCCCAAATCTTTGCTTTGAGATCTCCTTACGACTCATTTCTACGTTGAACATGCTTTACGTCGTCGACGTACGTTGCGAATCAGCACGGTTGTGGGTTGAGGGTTTCGGGTTTAGGCTTTAAGAATTCGGATTTAGGACGTAGGTCTTAGAGTGTAGGAACTCGTGGGGAGTTTGGGTTGGGGGATGATGCTGTCTCCCCGGTGCACCTGGTGGCTCGAAGGGGCTCGGTAGAGAGCTGCAGCGTCTCGGGTTTAGGCTTTCGGGTTTCCGGTGTGGGTTCCCACCATGAGGCGACCACCCAAGTTTGAGACTTTAAACCCACAAAACTCGAAGCGCCAACTCAACACTTAAAGCACTAAATCCAAGAGCCCTAAGTCCTAAGTGCCTCCAGCGATTGTGCATGGCACTCTTCAGAAGATCATGCCGGGTCCTCACAGAAGAGGGAAAGGCCCTTTGTTTTGGGTTTAGGAACTGGGGGGTTTAGGGTTTTTGGTTTGTTTTGCGTTCCCACCTTTGTCGAGACAAGTTAGGAGTAGAATTTAGGTTTGGCGACGTTTCAATGTTTTTCATTACATTCTTGTCCAGGATCCAATCTTTAGTGAAGGGAGTATGGGCAGTTCTTTCATCTAGGGTCTGTTTTGAGCCCTCAAGGTAGTACGGCATTCTACAAAAAGGACCCTAAAAAGGATACCAATTTGGAGAACTACTGAAGGATTACCAGTACTTTTTTGGGGGGTTCGCTAATATGATTACAGTATAAAGGGCCCTTAAACTCTATTCAGCCGTGGATTTTGGAGTCCGTGGGCATCTCTTCAGACCGCAAGCCAGCAGCTGTAGGAAGCTTGATACTACGGTTTAGTGTTAAAGGTTCAGGGTGCAGGGTTTGGGGTTTAGGGTATATCCGAGACGCACTACATGGAGCCGTTTCTTTGCAGTAGACAAAGTCTCCATCCTAACCCCGAGGCCTTGCAGATTGAAGCTCGCTGGGAGTGTCGTCGTCGTGGTGGTCGTGGTCGTCGTGGTCGTCGTCGTCGTGGTCGTCGTCGTCCTCCTCGTCGTGGTGGTCGTAGTCGTGGTTGCGGTCGTGGCCGTGGTCGTGGTGTTTGTTGTGGTTGTTGTGGTTGTTGTTGTTGTCGTTGTGGTTGTTGCGGTTGTTGTGGTTGTTGCTGTTGTTGTGGTTGTTGCTTTTGTTGCTGTTGTTGCTGTTTCTGCTGTTGTTGTTGCTGTTGTTGTGGTTGCTGCTGTTTTTGCTGTTTTTGCTGTTGTTGCTGTTGTTGCTGTTGTTGCTGTTGTTGCTGTTGCTGCTGTTGCTGCTGTTGCTGCTGTTGCTGCTGTTGCTGCTGTTTCTGTTATTTCTGCTGTTGCCGTTGTTGTTGCTGCTGTTGCTGTTGTTGCTGTTGTTGCTGCTGTTGCTGCTGTTGCTGCTGCTACTGTTCTTTTTTGTGCTTGTTGTGCTTGTTTGTTGTTACAGGGTGTTGATTGTTGGTTGTTGGATTTTGTTTATGGTTGTGGCTGGGGTTGTTGTCGTTGTTGTCACCGTCGTCGTTGTCGTTGTCTTTGTCGTCGTCGTTGTTGCTGCAATCGTGGTTGCTGTTGTTGTCGTTGTCGTTGTCGTCGCTGCCGCCGTTGTCGTCACTAGATAGCTTTGGCTGCTATTTGTAGATGTGAAAACCATGTTCTGGAAGAATTGACAGCTATGTCTAGACTTCCTGAATCCCCTGGCTGTTCCCAGGGCAGTGCAAAGTCTCCCGGCTACGTCTTCACAACGGTCCTGGGTTTAGGGCGTTGGGTTTAAAGGTTGTAGGAGGGGGATGGGCAGGCGGTTCACCGTGGAGGGGTCCCGATGTAGGGTTTAGGGATTACAGGGCTCATAGAACGTTGGGTTCTGGGCTCAAGTTCTTCGTGCTGGGTTTAGGCCTTATGGTTTAGGATTTAGCGTTTAGGATTGAGGGCGGTGGCCTCCATAACAGCCGCCGGGAGTGTGGCATTTGCATTTTCGCCAGCTGTACATGGGGAAGCAGGCCGGTCATGTCAGCGCCATGTTCTAATTGCGTAAGCCTGTCTGGCTCTTAGTAGGAAATGGGGGAAGGGGTTATAGGGAGTATTATTGAGGATTTTTAAAGACTACTATAGGATCCATTCCCGCCTTCCCTACAAAGAAGCAGACAATAATTTCGTAAGAGGGCAGCTTTCATGGAGCCTGAGCCAAACACACACCTTGCATCGACCATTTAGGGTTTAGGGGTTTAGGGTTTAGGGTCCACCCCAAACCATACATTGCCAAACTGCGAAATACTGCAGGCCCCAAACCAGGACCCTGAACCGCAAGCTCTAAGCTCTAGACCTGAAAGCCCTGAGAAGAGCCCCCAAAGCACTTTGGCAGCATGCCCTAATCTCGAAGCTGCCACAGAGCCGCAGCGAAGCCCCAAAATGCTGCAGCCCTACACCCGAAGCCCTCGATGGGGAAGCCTGACAGACCAAAGGTCCTCAGCGTTACTACTCCGCCGAAATCCCGAAGCCCTACTACTATAGGGGCCTTACTAATTAATAGGGTTTTGAGGCACAATATACTAGACTTAGAATTATAATAAGGAGCCACCGATGTAGTATTGGTAATTGTTTAGGCCCCTATATTGCTTTCCCAAACCCTGTACCTTGGGTACTGCCCCCACCCTGTAACAGCTGTAAAAACGTATATCATAGTAATAATAATCTTCATTATTATGATTATTCTTTTTCCTCTTCTTACTAGTATTACTAGCATTATTATTATTGTTCTTCTTCTTCTTATATATATATATATACAAAGAGCCCCGAACATGATCTCCAATATAGACTGTTACGGGGTGGACGCAGTACCCGAGTTCACCAGACCCCTGCTCGGAGAGCCCACCAACCCGCTCTTTGGAGGAGTATCTCTTAGAAGGGGCCCCCACCCTGTAATAGTGACTATAAGGATTACATTAGGGCACTATTATATTCTATTATACCACTATTACAGGGGTGGGGGCGCCTTCTAAAGTATCTCTCAAGTCATGCTTAATACTCAGCCTTCTATGGTTTGAATCAGTGTATTTTTGAGGGTATATTCCTGAAACCGTAGTGTAGTCTAAGGAAGCTGCCTTGTTGAATGTGTGTGGGGCTCTCTGACCACGAACTTAGGGGTATTTAGAAATAGTTTTTAATTTTTGGTTCTTATAGTACCTAAGAAACAGCAAAAATACAATTTTTGCTAGGGTTCTAAGTTCAGTATAGCGAAACTGGGACGCCGCTGCGCCAGGTCGTGCAGACTTGGCTCCGGTGGCGCTTCTAGCGCAAGGCCTCCCCTGGAAGGCTTAACTAACTTGGGACCCCTTGGGGGTTTTAGTTTTCAGGGTGCAAGTTCAGGCTGCAAGGCAGGATCCCTCCTCGTCCAGGGCTTGGGGCACGCCTTTTAGGGTGATCTCTTTTCGTCTTTTTTCCCAGGGTCCTCAAGGGCACAGCTTCTTAGTGTTAGGATGGGGCCTGTTTCCCCAAAGAGACTCCTTACATTTACGTGATCTTTTGCGCGTAGCTGGTTAGTAGTTGAGTAGTCTGTGCATGCAGTCGGAGACTCGTTGAATGCCTCCTCTGCTCCTCAGCTGTTGAATGGTTCTATATCACAACGTACATACAGCCTAGGAACCTGCATCGGAGTCCATGTGGGAGTTTCCGAAAACAGGGGACCCCACTATAATACCCTAAATAGTAGGATCCTTTTTCTCAGGACCCCCAAAATAAGCTACCCCATAATGTCCGGGAACTCCAAACCCTAAACCCTTTATAGGACCGTTATAGATCCCTTTAAAGGAACCCTGTATGGATCCCGTTTTAAGGTACCCACCCCCTAACTTCCGGAAACTCCCATGATAACATCCGAAGCCTTTTTCTGGTGGGTTTTCGGGCATCTTGGCTCCGAGACTCCAATATCCGGTAACTAAGGAAAATATTAGAAGGGGCCCCCACCCTGAAATAGTGGTATAATAGGAATAGAATAGGGCCCTAATCTAATCCTTATAGTCACTATTACAGGGTGGGGGCCCCTTCTAAGGAATCATATTGGTGGTTGTCAAAGCTAGGCTTCCTTTTTGAGTACCCTGAATATTAGGTGCCGTAGTATGTTAGGGATCTAAACAGGGACCATAATTTTGGCAACTACCCATATCCGGTAACTAAGGAATTTACCCCAAATCATCGTAGGATCCCGTATATGATTTAAGGTAAATCCCTCAATTAAAGGATATTGGAGTCTCTGAGGGGAAATGTTGTGCAGAGTGTCGGGTTCACCGGTTTGGGTGACAAGACCTGAAATGGGGCCTTGTGGCACCCTTGTATGACCCCCTGACTGACGGAACACCTACAAGGTTTACGGTATAATGTACCCTAAACCCTGAACCTTTGCTCTGACCTCTCTAAGGGCTTAGGGCTGTCAAGACGTCTCTGATAGTGAGTCAAAGGGGAAAAGGAGGGACCCTTAATGGGGACCCCTACCCTATAATTGGGCTGTATGATGGGTATATAATGGGTATATTATGGGTATATACCTAGGGGTCGATACGGTTGCTGATATATATCCTGCATTACCCCTAATAAGGAATATACCACAATTCCCATAGTTTAGTAAGGGTCCTTAAGGTAATGCAGGATTTATATCATCAACCGTAGTGAGGGGGCATTGAGGGCCTGGGTTACGGGTCGATCGTAAGTCTCATTCGAAGTTCGTTTGTTGGAGTAGGACCCTGAATACAACGTCGGTTCAACCAAAGCAGGAACCGTTACAATGGAGACTGTAGGCAGAGTATGCCCTACAGCTTTTTTTAGGACACTCAGTTTTAATGTTAGGATCTGTTACATAGAGAAGTAGGTAGCTTTACGAAGGGGGTATTAGGTATGAACCTGCAGGTACCCAGAGAGCCGAATACCCCTTAATCAAGGAATATAGCTTAAATCATAATATGAAGGCCTTTATAATTTAAGCCATCTTCCTTAAACCCTAAACCCTAAACCCTAAGCCCTAAACCCTAAACCCTAATCTTCCTTAGTTCATGAGGGTCTAGGCTTCGACTGTGGAGGGTTCGCAGCAGGTGTGCCCACCCTCGGGCACGGCGGGCTGAGGACGGCTCTGGGCTGCTGGATCCGACACCCCAAAAACCCAAAGCCACCAACACGAAACCCAACGCCCCAAAACCTGAACGCTAAACCCTAAACCCTAACCCTAAACCCTAAGTCCCAAATCCGAAACGAAACCCGCAACCCCAAACCCTGAATGAACCCAGAAAACCCCTTAGTCCCAAACCCGAAACGAAACCCGAAACCCTAACCTCTAAACCCTTTTTTTTTTTTTTCTCTTTTTTTTCTCTTTTTTTTTTTGAAAAAAAAAGAACCCGAAGACCAAAGAAGCCCTTAAAAAAAACCCTGAGCCCTTAAAAAAAAAAACCTGAACCCGAAGACCAAAGAAGCCCTGAAGCCCTGGACTGATATAGGGCCTTAGTAGAAGCCAGGAAAGGGGCTAAAGTAATTGCGAATGCTGTTTCGGGGTTCCTTGTTCTATAGTATAGTATACCACCCAAAACCCTAGTTTAAGCATCAATACTATTTTGCATCCACTTTCAGTAGTTCCACTGCTGTGACTTCAACTTCTGCTGAATCTGCGGTAGTGAGCTTTGCTGCAGTAGCTGCTGCTGGTTCTTCGGTTACTGCTGCTTGCTATCCTTCCAAACCTGAAAACACGATTCTTGAATTCCGAGTATGGGGTTCTGGTGTTTGTTAGGATATGTTGATAATTGTCAACCCTTCGGAATAATGTTAGAATCTATTCAGGCCCCTTTTCGGTATGAAGCCATGTTTCGGCAGTTCCCCACATCCAAACTGAGCTCAAATTTTTCCCAGCCCCGTGCACAAAGTCTGACCTCCCTAAACCGCAGCGGCTCAGGGTTTGAGGGTTTCGGGTGTTCTGGGGTTGAGGTTTAGGGGACTGCCCAACCCTTCCAGAATCCCTTAATCAAGGAATATCCCTTAAATCCTATTCGGGGTCCTAGTATAATTTAAGGTGTTTTCCTTAATTAAGGGATGATACTGCGGTCCACTAAACCCTAAACCCTACAGATCCCTTATGAGGTCGCCTAGGCATTCCTTACAAACGGGGATCTTGGAAGGTCTGGGCGTAAAAGCACAATCTGACACCTGCAGCTTGAAACCCGGGCCCGCAATCAAAGCCTCGCCGCGAGGAAGTTCAATGTCAGGGCCTCAGCTGCGATCACGGCTTACCTAGAGGATCATACCGAATCATACCCTACTCCTTTTTTAGGAAACCTAGTTTTATGGTTAGGTTCTCTTATGTAAAAAAGTAAGCTAATGATTAGAACAGGGTTTTGGGGCCCATTATACTTAAAAAACAAATAGAAAGGAGCCCCCAAAATAGTACAGTATAGGTTATGATTTCGTTTTTGCATTGATAAAGGGTTTTTCCATTAGGGGACAATTTGTGGTTCATTGTTGTGGCCGTTGTGCTTCTGAAACTCCCACGATAGCAGTGGCAGTTTCGAACCAGGGGCAGCGAAATCCGCTAGAGCTTTCGCAGTCAGTGCTTAAAGCCCCGACCCAAAACACTGAAGCCTAAGAAGTGTCTAATATAGGGGCTTGAATAATTACTTTTACTATTTTGGGGGCTCTTTATTATATTTATAGTATACTGGGCCCCAAAACCCTATTCTAATTATTAAGGCCCCTGTAGTATAGAACCCTGCTATAGATCCCTAGACCCCTTAAGGATCCCTTTAAGGGGACCGTATTCTAACTATTAAGGCGCCTATAGTAGCAGTCAGGACTTGCCTGCTGCCCTGGCGCCGTGCCAAAGAAGCACGCAGGCACGGTTTAGGGTCTAGGGTTTATGGGTCAGGGATTCAACAACGAAAACCGTAAGCCCTAAACCAAGAAGCGTCTTGACCACATGCTCCATAAACCCTAAACTCTCAACCCTTATGCCCGAGGCCCCAAACCTTACGCCGTATAACCTTAACCCTGGCACTCTTTAGTAAGCCTTTTTCTCCACCCGTCGGAGCGGCAGTTTGGGGTTTCGGGTTTCGGTTTTTCTGGTTTTGGGCTAAGGGTGTATCTTAGAACTTGCTGATGGTGCCTCCCTAGTTGTTAGAACTCTCCATGTTGAGGATGTAGGGCTCATACCAGAACCTGGAACTCCTAGTACGGTTATCCGAACGGCATACTTGGAGGCGCGGTTCAACGCTAAACCTCCGTTTATAACGTACTTGGCTGTTCGCTATTCTCTCTATGCAAGCCAAATACTTCCCGACATCGTTCCAAAGGGTTCTCTATTTAGTTAGGGTAGGGCATGCCCGTTTTGGATAGTTACATCACCGTCAACCATCTATAGCCCAATATCTGTCAAAGTACTTTACCTGTCCCATTTCTCAGGTGATGTAACTCCTCGAAACGGGCAAGCTTAGGTTTACTCGGGCTATGGGGAATAGTGTGATTTCAGCTTATGTTCCATAAGTCCATTCAAAGGAGGGTCCCTAACAATGCATGCTGCCAATGGGTATGACTTCAGGAGGGTTTGATTGCATGTGTTGGTTCGGGGGTGAAGTTCCAAGGGTTCTTGTGCACTGTGTTCCAGCAGAGGTTTGGTTGATGTGTCTTTTTTTGTTGATGTTTAGGGTTTGCACTGTTTGTTTGCCTTTTTGCTGCGTTGTGAGCCATTTTGCTCCAGTTTGATGTTCCTACATCTGTCAGCTGTCGCCGCAGTTCGGTGCCATGCCGCAAATGCCGTGTCGTGGCGCATTCCAAGCAGTCGTGCTTCTCCTGGCAGTGGGAGCGAGTGCCGCAGCAGAGGACGAGCCAAGGTCACTAGACGAACTCTGCAAGAGAGCACCTTGCGACAAGCCCATGAGCTGGGCTTGCTTCCACAAGTGGCCTGGCAGCGACGTCGCCGAGGTCCTGAAAGAATCAGGCTTCGCACGCTGGTACCACGCCGAGTATGACGACTTGAAGTTTTATGCCAAATTCCTTTGCAACTTCACGGAAGATGAACTGAATGACGACATTCAACGACGTAGGGACTTCACTTCAAACTTCATCAAGAGCGAGTATATCAAGGGAGAGGTGTATGCTGCATTCGACAAGCACGGCATCACATACAACAACTGCTCAACAGTTGTGGACTCGAGCGACTTCCAACCGGAACTCAGGCCATTTCTCTGCACAGAGGAAGCCATGAAGGCCTTGGAGAAAAAGGCCTTGGAGAAGGAGGACGAGATTCTGTTGGAACTATAGAAGGACTTCGTGGTTGTCAGGGTTTTTGATTGCGCTGCAGTTCCGGCGAAAAGGGCTGCGCCGTCAATTCATGGGCATCGCATTCGGGTTGATCTAGAGGTATTCGTCTTTGCCATGCAAGAAATGCCACACGTGTCAACTAATTAGGAACCTGGCGAGCATTCCGGATTAGGCGGCGTTTAAGTTTCGGGTTTAGTCTGCTTTTTAAGGGCTCTGTCCCTAAATCCTTATGGAAACCCTAGGCTTTTGGGCACGAAACACACCAAACAAGCAACAAAAACAAGTAAAATCAAAAATACATGCATGAATGTAGTGGAATTTAGTGTTTAGGGCTGAATCATCATCATCATCATCACGCCATCATTTTCATCATCACCTTCTTCATCATCAACAGCAACATCACCAGAAGTCATCATCCACCGTCATCGGCATTGTCATCGTCATCATTGTCATCACCGTCATAGCAGTCGCTATCAGTATCAACAGCATCATTATGGTTATCAGTATCTCCGCCATCATGGCCATCATCATCATCATCATCATCATCGTCATCATCACCATCACCATCATGGCCACCATTCAGCACCATCAGCACCATCAGAATCATCACCATCATCATCATCATCATGGCCACCATCAGCGCCGTCACAATCATCGTCACCACCATCATCAGCATCGTCTCCCCCCCCCCCCCCCCCCCCCCCCGCAACCTTTTTCTAAGCCGGAGACCATATTCTGGCCCTGCCGCAACTTTTGTGGTGGATCCGAATGTGTTCTTGCCTCTTCAAAGCATATCCACACAACGTTTATTGACACAATAGTACGGTTCAGATTTTGGGCTTTAGGCGTTCAGTGTTTAGCTCATTTCGGTTTTAGAGTTCAGTTCAGGGTTTTGGGTTCCGTTTGGCTTTGAGGTTTCAAACGCCTGGCCGTAGATCCTCCCAGACTGAGCCAAGGTGACGCTTCGCGGTGGACCTACTGAAACTCTAAGCCTTCAACTCCAACCCCCCCAATCCCCAAACCCTAAACCCTGCCCCCAGCATCAGTAGCTGCTAGAATGTTCGGAACATCAGGATCCCGATCGCCCTTGAGTGGAATTGAGTGAACCCCATCCTTACTCCATTTTCTAGCTTCGTGACGGTCAGTGCAGCTGTTTGGGTTTTGGGGTTCCCCCAAAGTTGCTACATCCTAGCTTAAGCCCTAAGCCCTGACCTTAGCCTTAAACCATCAGACATTCAGGGTTTAGAGCTTAGGGTTCAGGAGTTTCGGGTTTAGGGGTTCCTGGTTGAGGGCTTAGGAGTTTACAGAACCCCACTCCTATTGTAGAGGCCTGCTGAACTAGCGATACTATTTCCTTGCGGCATAGAGGAATACACCGAAGCCCTATCCCTCAGTCAGACCCGAAACCCCAAAACCCTCATTATTCCTAGACCCGAAGCCCTACAACCCTAAGCCCTAAGCCCCTAAACGAACCCTAAGCCAAAAGCCCCTAAACCCCAAGCTCTGAATGAAGCCCCAAAGCCCCATAAAGGAACCCGTAAAGGAGACCCTATAGATCCCTTAAAGGAGCCCTTAAAGGAAACCCTAGAGATCCCTTAGGGAAACCCTCAAAGGAGCCCCTTAAATGAAGCCTCTGGACCAGGTCGGGGAAAGCACTCTCCGGAGGCTGGCTCCTATAGTATCTTGTGGGTTTTAGGGTCTAGGGGTTTTCAGGGTTTGGGGTTCAGCCCTAAACGGGTTTGGGGTTTAGGGTTTGTCAGGGTTTTTAGGGTTTTTCAGATGCCACGGATGTCTGCCCCCTGCGAGCCGCAAGCGCCCTCAGCTTCCAGCCCGTGTGCTCTGGGTTGCAGTACCATAGAAGCCGACATTATTGCCAACATCATTCCTTATTAGGGTTCCTCATTGTATTCACAGTCAAATTTAGTAGAATACACCCCGAAAGCCCTACTCCAATTGTTAAGGCCCCTACACTCAAGATCCCTTATAGACCCCTTCAAGGATCCCAATAAAGGAACACTACTCTAAACCCTGAGCCCTAAGCCTTAAACCCTAAACCCTACCCTAATTAGTAAAGGTCCCTATAGCCCCTAAACCCTAAACCCAACCCTTATAGTAGCCCGTATAGAACCCTTTAGGGAACCCTTTCAAGAAACCATATGAAGCCCTATAATTAATTATGAAAAGCCCCTCTAGTCTCCTTGCATAGGCCCAAAGCCCATCAACTGGAGCCGGTCTTCCTGCAGGACAGGGGCTGGCGCAGATTTCGTAGACTGGGTTCACTTTTGTCACAACAACAGGGCTTCCTTTAAGGGATCTGTAAGGGTTCCTTTAAGGGTTCTATAATGGATTAGGGGTTAAGGGGTTTAACTTAAGTTACCACGAAAGGGATCTATAGTAAATACCATGGTTTCCTTATTGTAGTAACAAAAACTCAATCCCTTAACAAGAAAGTCTTCATATGCTTCGGGGCTAGCGGTTTCGGGTTTAGGGTTGACCCTTTCGGGGGAGAGTTTTGGGTTCCTGGCCTTTGGCTTGGTCGGGCTTAGGGTTATGATCCTGAAACACTACAGCATTATAGCCTAAACTAAATAAATCCAACAAACTTACACTTCAGGGCTCTAGGACCCTAAACCCTAAACCCCTAACCCCTAAACCCCTAAACCCCTAAACCCTAAACCCCTAAACCCTAAACCCCTAAACCCCTAAACCGAAAGAATCCTACACCCTAAAGGTGTAGCCTTCAGCGTTGAAGCGTTCAGGCTGGTGGGCTTGAAGCTTGCAGGTACTGCTGATGATATCAATCCTGCATTACCCCTTACAAGGAATATACCCTTATTTCTATAGTTTAGGGTCTTTAAGTAAGGTAATGCAGGATTTATATCATCAACTGTATGGGGTTTGATGTGGAGGGCTTCTACGATACTGGCAGGACGCTCGTGACACCGCGCTTGCCGAACTTCGCCGAGAGGTGCTGGGGCATTCAAGGTTAGGGTTTTAGGCTTCCTGTAAAGGGATCTATAGGGTTTAGGGTTCCTTTAAGGGTACTATAAGGGTTCCTTCAGCTAACAGTTCAAACCAACGACTTACGCATGCATACGGATGCGTAGTGTCAGTTGCATAACATATGTGAGAATGTCTGTCTGGCCTGTACTGCACTGCACTAGACTGAAACGGAATGCGATGGAATGGAAAAGGACAGAATGTGTGCATGCATGCATGGGTGCATGTATGTGTGGAAGGGTAGATTGATGGATGGAAGGAATGACGGATGATGAATGCACCTACGTAATTACATACGTATGTACGGTGCGTTTATGCACGTTTATCTATCTATCTATCCATCTATCTATCTAATAACTATCTGTCTAGCCATCTCTATCTATCTGTATTTCTGTCTACTTGTCTATCTGCCCATTTGTTTATCTACCTGTCTATCAGCTCACGCGTCTGTCTCTCGCTGTTTGTCTGTCTATCTGTTTGTGCATGTGTGGATCTATCTGTCTATCGATCCATCTATCCATCTATCCATCTATGCATCCACCCAGCCACCCACCCACCCACCCAGCCACCCACCCACCCACCCATCCATCCATCCATCCATCCATCTTTCTTTCCATTCCTTCTATTCCTCTATCTGACCTATCTTAGCATCTATCTACCTACCTATTTACCTATCTATCTATCTATTCTACCTATCTACCTATCTATCTAACTATCCGTTCTGGTCTATCGACTCTATGTGTTCTATCTGTTCTGTCTGTTTGTTCCTTCATCTGCCTCTTGTCATGCAGTATTGAAACCAATGAGGACATAAGCCCGCAGAAGAGTACTTGAGACTTCTATCACCGATTGAGACTTCTATCACCAAAGCACCTAAAAACTCAAGAAGCCCCAGAGCCCACAAAGCCACATCTTTGCTACATCAAAAATTCTGGTCCTCCTCGAAGAGAGACCAGACCCACGAAAGCCTGAACAGGAAGATGACTGATATAGGTGCCTTCACAAGCACTTGTGCCATTACTTTCCTCAGGGTTCCTTATCATAACTCGGCTAGAATATACCCCTACACCCTAAACCCCATTAAGGCCCTTTTATTGCCCCAGGTTCGCGAGCTTCAGCGGGCAGTGGTCGCTTTACAGGAGGCCCTTCGTTTCTTTGAGGTGTGCGGTTGAGGCTTCGGGGCTTGGTATAGGGCCTTGAAGTGTTAATTAGCTTCAGTGGCATTTGTAGGGTTCCTTCTTGTGGCTACAGCAAAATATGCACCGAAATCCCATTCTGGTCTTTTTTTATTAAGGCCCCTATATAGGTACAGTGGCTTTGTAGGTTAGCATGTGGGGGAGTATATGATTGCTAGGCACTTGGACAGTGAGGGGTGGAGGGTAGCTTCATCATCGGGCTCCTCAAAGGTTCAGATAAGCGGGTGTAGGGCAGGAGCCCTAAACCCTAAAGCCTAAACCGTATAGGCCTAAACCCTTAAACCATAAACCCTACACCCTGAGCCCAAATCTGCCACCGGCTTGCCGCCCCGAAACCCCACCCCTGTTCTGTATCTCAGATGTCGGAATGAACCCCAAACCCTACACCCTAAACCCTTATTGAGGTTTTGGGTTTAAGGGTTCAGGGTTTATTGGAGTTTAGGGTAGATCCCCAAGCTTAAATCTACACATGACAGTAGTAAAGCACACATGATTCCACAGCGGGGCTACCACACCACTCCACGCACTGCAAGCACCAAGGCTCACGCTTTGACTCCCTGCCGCTTTGGTCGAATCTAACGGCATAGAATGATTAGGTCAGGGCTTTAGAGAACATAACTGCGTAGGGACCCCAATGGTACGTCACTCTCGGTATTCCGACTCCTGTTTTCGGCTCTTTCTCGGCTTCCGGCTTCTTATCTCTGAGACCGTAGAGCAAACCACGCAAGACGCTCGCCAGCCAGAATCAAAATCCAGCACTCCAACACCCTTACACCCCCTAAAAGCACCAAACCCCTAAACCCTGAGGCCTAGGTCCAAAGAACATCCCGAGCATAGAACTCATGGCCCCTACACTCAAGATACACCCTAAACCCTAATCCCAAGCCATGGAAGTTGCCAAAAGCGCAATGCGTGAAGCCCGAAGCCGCAAATAGCTGACCTCGGACCTAATTGGGAGTTTCCGAAATTGTTAATTTGGGGTCCTTATAATAATGGATCCTACTATTTAGGGTACAAAATTAGGGATCCCTATTTTCGGAAACCCCCAATTAAGCCCGAACCCGCGACCCTGACTGAGCGTTCCAGCCTATGAATCTGCACCTCGCTGCCTCACTCTCAAGCCGCTAAACCCCAACAGCCCTGAACCCTAAAACCTAAACTTTAAACCAAGACTGCAAAGCTTTCGAAATCCCTCGTGTCCATGGCGTCGCCGGCGTTCTTGACATTTGCTGCCCCGGCGGCTGCTGTGGCGAGCCCGTGGCCTGGCAAATCCAAGAATCGGAGTTTTCGTTGGGGTATAGGGTCTAGGGTGTAGGGTTCAGGGGTTTAGGGTCTAGGGTGTTTAGGGTTTAGGGGGTTTAGGGTTTAGGGCTTTAGGGGCTTAGGGTTTAGGGGTTTAGATGCCGCCCAACCCTGGACATCCCTAGCCCTTGTATCCTGTTCGTTGATAGACCCTAGACCGGGGATTAGCCCCTCTCCCTGCCCCAGAGCATACGAAGTTCAGGGTGTTGTCTACACTTTGGAGGCCATCGACCCTGAACCCAAAACCCTTAACTCCCTAAACCCCATACCCTAAGCCCTGTAAACCCTAAACCCGAAAAACGAAGCCTAAAATCCAAATAGAGCAGCCTCCAGGCTTTGAAGTGCTATAGGCGTCTGCATATGTGTTCATACATGCATATGCAGATGTAGGTATGGGTGCACATACCGGATGTGTGTCTCCGTTCGCCGTTCTACAACGCTCAGGGACGAGTTGCGGCTTCTGCAAGAAGATGGGTGGCGGAACATCTTGGAGTGCCAAGCCAACAAGTATGGATTTGGTTTGCACGCGTGCCCTCGTGCAGTCACTTTTCCTGCTTGCTTTAGCCCTGCGACCAAGGCCACGCTCTTGCCAAGCGCATCTTCTTGCGAGCAAGCGCATCAAAGTCCAACCAGGTTGGTTCGGTGGTCTACGCATAGCATAGCTACTGCTTAGCAAACGAGTTATAGGAAACCACGTGCAGTCGAGGCAGTTGGCTCTTGGAGAAGGATCTCTCGATCCAAATTCTACCGAGGTGGCCCAGGTGCGGGGCTCGTGCTTGAACAACGGGAGATGTCCACAGCCTTAGTGTTGCCCTGCAAGGATTCAGACATGGCCTTGGTCACGAAATTGGAGCGTGCAGCAGCTCCAGTTGTCCTACCGTTGCAGCATTCTCCTACACGCCTGCAAAGGCAATGTGCCGTGAGGAAGCAATTCCATCTCCGCAAAGCCTGATGCCTTGTCAACCGCAGTTCACAGCCCGAAATGTCCAAGGTGATGGCCGCTGTGGCTACCGAGCGCTCGCGCTCTGCTTGGGCACAAGCAGCCGTTGCATTATGCAAAGCGTTTTTTGCGTGCAATGGTGCAGCATCAACACTTGGGCTTCTCTCCAGCTGCCATCATTCAGTTAGCGATCGCATGCGATCTTCGAAATGCTTGTCCGACTGAAGCTTGGCTCACGGACCTTCGCTTGCGAGCTGTTGTTGCTGCCCATCCAACCTTGTTTCCAGCAGGCATTTTGGTCAAGGTTTTCTACCAAACGGACGAACTATCGTTCGTGCACTTTCAGCATTCGGCCGAGCCGGTGCATCTTCCGAAAGAAGCCGCTGCGGCCAACTATCTGAAGGTTGGAGCCCGTCTATTCTTGGGCTTGTGCCACAGCCCATGTGCCATTTTGTGCAGCTCATACACACACCATTCAGCAGCCGTCGAAAGGCCGGACGGCCCGTCGGTCAATGCTGCCTCTCTTTCAAACACATGTGTGGATGGCCCGGGATTGGTCCCCCTCCGTCTTCATTCGTCCGTATCGTTATCCACGGATTTGCAAAATCTGGATTCCGTGGACATGTACATTGGTTTTGCCAATTCTGCATGTTCCTGGAGCCTAGCCGAGCAACTCGCCACTGGTTTCATTTCGACTGCCCGGTTTTGGGCTGGCAGGTTCAAAGTCAACCGCGGCATTTGCTCCTGTTTCAAGTATTTCAAGTGGGTGACGACTGAGGAAGAACTGCCCATAGTGCAAACTCCAACGATTTCTCTTGCCAGACCCCTGCTTTCCACAGTGGTGTTGTCAAGAGTCCACATGGCTTTTTTTGATGCCGAAGATCGCCTGTTGAGTCGCCTGTCTCTTCCTTCTCGCTGGCAAGTTCCTGCCGGGGCCGATAGTCTGCGAGCATTCGTGGCGTTGGCCAGAGGTGACGACAGCATGCTACCGCTTTCGGACACATCCACGGTCGTGGCAGATCTTGCCACAACGATGGATGGTGCTTGGTTGGCGAACAAGCTTGCGTTGCTGCCAGCGACTTCAGCCATGAATCGCCGCTGTGCACCAGAGCTTGTCGTCGCCGATCAAGATATCCGAGGCGGTGCTTCAATGCTTGCCGTCGAGGAGCTCTTGTACCCGCTGCCTGTGGCAAGCCTTGGAGCTTTGCTGTGTGGCTACCAGTGTCATGGCGGCAGCCTATGCATAATCCTTCGTGTGTATGTATGTCTGCATGCATGCTTTTATGCATGTAGCAAATGCATGCATAGTTGTATGTAGGTATGCGGATATGTGGATCTGTACGTATGTGCGTGTGCATGTGTGTAGGTATGTTTGTGCTTTCTTTCTGGTTGTGGTCGTTGCCCTTATAGTCTTTGGTGATTACACCCTAGGTTACTGAACCCAAAAACCTCTCAGAAAAGCGTAAGCCGCAATGTGATCCGCTTCTGCCAAAGCCCTCACAGAATCATCTGGGCTTTGGAGTACCATACTTTCATACTGTTTGGTTACTTAACGGGAACCATTATGAAATGAACGTTTATACTTTTTCTACCTGGTTACTTCAAAGCCCAGTCATGGAGCCCTGAAGATCCTTCGAGCAACCCCGCATCCAACTCTGGAGCTTCAAACCCCCAGTTGCCCAAACAAGACTCAGAGGCTGAAACCAGAGACGTCTGCAAACTCCCAAGCGGGTTTCAGGGTCTAGGGGTTTAGCGTTTGGGGGTTTATGAAGGGTTAGGCGTTTAGGAGCCCCGCAGAGCTTTTCCAGTCTACAAACATCTTATCAAGAACAGGAGCCGCATGGTATGTAAATCGCATGGTATGTAAATCTTTAAAGTAAACTTTAAAGCCCTATATAATTTTCCTCAGGTGATCGAACAGAAGGCCATGCCAAAGCCGTTTACAAGCCGTGACAACGAGATCAATCGAGAACCCCAAATAAACACCAATACTATTCCGACGGGTTTCTGATCACACTTGCAACTCTTCGAGGAACACGACAGAACCCTGATAGAAATCCTGAGAAGAAAAGGGACGCTGAGTCTCGGGCGAAAAATTTGTTATGCACTCCCGTTTAGAAAAGCCGTTTGTGGAGTCGTACTCTTCCTTAAGCAAGTACATAAGGAGTCCCTGATTAAAGCAAAGCATCTGGTGGAGCAAAACCTTCAAGCCCTGGAGTCGTTTCCGTCGTTTCCTCCGAACTCGCACCCGGAAATATCCCGAACCCTATTTCCAAACCCCAAAATTTCAAAACTAAACCCTCAACCTCAAATCCAAAATCCCGAACCCTAAACTCCAAACTTGTTTAAAAAAAACTCTTGGAACCCTAAACCTCAAAAAGCGTAAATCTTCGAACTCTCGCCACTTGCGGAGGCCCCGGCCGTCTCTCAGGGGCGCTGCGAGCGCGACGGCGAGAAGCAGTCGGCCGGGGAGCCAGGGTTTTTCAGGGCTTTAGGTTTTTATGGGTTTAGGGTTTACGTTAAAGGTTCCGCTGAGGGCACAAGGGTTCCTGTGGGAATCCCTTACAAGAACCCTTAAAGGGGCGAGTACCTGGAGCCCTTGAGGGTTCCACTAAGGCTCTTTGCAGAAAAGGGTTCCTATAAGGATTCTACACAGGGTCTGTTGTGGGGTTTCAGGCTTTCGGGTTGATTCTCTAGCCTTTCA